GAGAGGGTGTAGGGGAGGGCATGCAGTTTAGTGGACGTTGGCCATGCCAAGCGCGGAGCTTACGAGAAGCTATTTTCTGCACAGAAGCAGAAGCTGATCCAGGGACTTGAAGTAGTTTGATGGGACCTTATAAATCACAGGGAAGAATCATTGGGGTACATATAATGTCCAGAATCAACAGCGAGTTCACCTGTTTTTAGTCATGCCGGAAGGTGTTCCCTTATTCTTTTGGATAAGCGCCGACACGTACGACAACTATAACCTGGTTCCCCCGAGCAACTAAAGGAGTAGCTGCACATGGAGGTGGTCTGAGCTCCTCCTAAATACTTTTGACCGAGCGATTTATTTATCCCTTCGCGTCAAGAAGTGGACTGGATTATGTTTTTGTTAGATAGATACGAAAGTGCTAAACTTCATATATTGTCCGGACCAGTTTTTCGGTAGATAAACGCTCCTTCGGATACTACCATCAGGACTTCGACTTTTGAGGATTGCTAAGAAAGAAATTAAACCTGTCGCGTTTCCACCTGCGAAATGAAATTAACAGTTGGATGTGCTGCATTGACAGCACTTAAACGGGTATCTTCATTAGTATCTATTGTGGCGATTAAGATAATATAATCAATGTAGCAACTGCAGTATGTTAGCCTATTGGTCCGATTGGTTCTTTGAAATTTCTCTAGCTCGCCCAGGAAGACATCGACCATGAGCGCATAGCAACGCCTTTTGTTAGTCTGCATATTTTTTGTCAAAAGGGAACTGCGCATTTAATGTTTATGTTAGTTATATTTCCCACAAAACTGTATTGGCTCGAAAATGCTTTATCGATAGTACGCAAATATTCACCAACTGGTCTTCTGAATCCATCAAATCGTTTGATTTGTCCATGGGGCGTTTCATCAGTCGGAACAGGCACAAACTAAACACTGTCATAAGTAAAAGAAGGAAGAGGTTCTTCGGAATAATCCAGTTGTAAATGGGAAGTTTCGAGATGCTGACAGCAACCAGGCCTCAGACAAAATAAAAAGAAGTAATAAAGTTACACTAGACAGTTTATGCGACTGGACAGCTAGACCACTAGCCTGTAGAGGCGTGAGTCACGGTTTGTTTGTTTGTGGGCCAGATGGGGCAGAACAGCTACGGTGTCCTATGTGCGGAGGGGAGGTTGGTGGGTCGGTGAATGTTAGGGTGGCTGGGTTAGTGGTCTTTATTGTGTGATTAAGACAGAGGACGGTAAATTTTGATCTTAAGCCACCGTATTGGTCGTTCAGGTCTACGTGGCGGTTAATACTACCTGCAGTAGAATACCAGGCCTCGATAAATTCTCGCGCTCGCTTTGTGTTGGCCATGGCGACGAGTTCAGTGTCATCCCAATTAAATCTATTATCGAAGTTGATTGCGTGTACGAGGACGAGAGCAGGGGGTCCTGGCGACGGACAACTAATTTTTGCTCCTTTTTACGGGTGCCCATAATTCTATTAGTTCTTTCTATCTTTGTATGGGACAAACGAAAGGGGTTTCGGTTCGTTGCTTACCTTTTCAACTATTAAGGAACTTCTTATAGTAACATTCCACGAAGTTTACAAGAGGAAAAGTATTTTCAGTTATGAATCTTAAACATGAATTTTGAAACTATACTAGCTGCGTGAATTATAATCATATAAAAGACCCAAGTTTCGTAGTTTGTCCTGGATCCTATAGGCAGTTTGGATCCTCTTAGTAAAGGCGGAAGCTTTATTCGTCAGTAGAGTGACTTAAGACCGCCGGCCTCCTATTCCTAGGGGTAAGTGTGCAAAGATGCTAGAACTGCACAAACCTGGGGCAGCCAAGTTTCCACGCTACGCAGTAGAGTACCATTCAAGGTGCTGTCCCATTGGGTACAAGGAGTACAAGTTCCGATACGATCTACTCATTACCGAGTTTAAGGTCGGTATTAATTACTTGAGCTGAAGCTATCAACTTACAAAGGCAGATCGCAATCATTATTCAGATTGGAGAATTTGTAAGGTCCGAGATGATAATCTGAGAAATAAGGCGGCATCAGCGAAACAAATTTGTTGATATGCTTACGTTTTGGAGCGCTTGGTCGGCTCGCCATTGCCAAACGTTAACTGCTGGTAATCCAACAGAACTGGAAGTGACATTTCATGACACGTTTACCGACTTCGGCCTGATCGATTTTGTTGTTGCCTCGGCCCTACGATAGTTGTTTGGTGGGCGGTCTAGCCGCCTTCGTTATGCGTCCCTCCGCAATGGGGGAGGGGTGGGAACACTTGAGCCACCGTCGGCATTGTTCATTTCGGCAGCGCATTTTCTTCATCGTGTGAATTCGTTCTCGGATAGTGTCTGTGCGACCTTCCTTAGATCTGCGTGGCCGTCTTGCCCTGCATTTCGAGTAAGTGATGATGCAAGAGTTTGTAAGCTGCAGGACGGTCAGGACGTCTGTTGATGATGTTGGCATCCGAATAACCCGCTTCAAGCGTTAGCCGTGCCATGTGTTGCAAACTGAGGATGTGGGTCCTGCCTCCGAGCTGCAGATTTTTGCTCCTGCAGGCTGTAGGCATCTTGTCCGTCCTGCAGCTTATAAACTCTTGCATCATTGCGTACACGAAGTGCAGGACAAGACGGCCATACAGAACTCAAGAAAACAGCACAGGCGCTATCCGAGAACGAACGCACCCGACGAAGAAAATGAGTCATCGAATCAAACAACGCCAATGGAGGCTAAAACTCCCCCAAACCTCCCCAATCGTAGGAATGACTCATAACAAGTACGGCTAGACTGCCTGCCAAACATCCTCCATTGGGCAGAGGCAGCAAAAACATCGATCAGCCCGAGATCGACAAATAGACCATGGTACGCCACTTGCGGTTGTGCTGGTGTATCTGCAGTTAACTTTCTGACGATGGCAAGCAGACCAAGCACTCCGAAGCGTTCCGTTGAGCCCGCCTTATTTCTTAGGCAATCAGCATCGCAGTCGATAAATACGTTGAAAAATTGTCTAGACCAAATTTTTGAAGATGGGTCTAATGGCGGTAGTTGGGTTTTACCTGGATTCCAACTGTACTTTTCTGTTTATCCTAGAAATCAGATATCTTTTCTTCATCGACAGGTAGACCACCAGAGACGTTGTGCCGTATAACATTCAGGGCGATTAACGTAATTTGCACATAATCTGTTCTTCTGAGAGACGCTGTATGACCTTGTGTTTTTAAGGCGCGACAGGGCTGTGGCATCTTGCAAAATAGCTGTTTCCATTATTACTGACAGGAGCCGGCGCGTCAGACATCTTTGTGGTTGGATTCATTGTTTAGCAGATCAGGAGTATATCCATAAGCTTTACGCTGCATAGCCTTTCTTCTCCATCATTCAATAACAAGCAACCTACGCTGGTTTGGATATCTCGCGAGACATGCGTCCCCTGTTGTGCACAACAGACAATTTCGCCAAACTACCTCCATCTTTCCGACCCATATGACGCATTTTCGGCGTCTGCCTATGTGTGACCTGTGCGACCACTTACGAGCAAGTTCGATTACCACACCTGACTACCAACAGCCAATAGTTTAACGGCAAAGCCCTTATCATGTGCTCCTGCGCACCTGTGATTGGTGAGTGAGCACAGCTTGCCACTGCAAACGGATCACAGGATTCTTATGTGCTTTCTGAATGTAGAACTTTTAAAGGACGCAGAAATGGGTCGCGATACATACTTTCACGCCATAATCCTACCAGTTTCCTGCTATGCCGCTGAACTCGAGAAGTCTACTTCGACGACACGGCAATGGAAACGGGAGAATCGAATTGAAGCGCTTTACAATTCCGATGATTTGGCGAGACATATGGCCAATCATGTGATGAACCAAAATCCCGCTCTCTCAGTAACGTATATATCAACACCCGACCTAATGCCCCGGGGCCTCTGGCGAGACCCCTACAGGATATATGCCACTATCTTCTCTCAGGCTAGTAGAGTGCTTTTTCTAGTCACAGAGTCGGATCAGGATGAATTTGAAGACTTTTTCGAAAATCATCTTCTGCATTTCTTTAAGCAACTCCAAAGCCACCGAAGCTTCAGCGAATGGAATACGCGATTTATTGTGGTAGTCATGGGCGACTTCGAGTTACCCGCTGTCCTCTGTGGCGAAAATCCACCTTGCGAGGTTGTGAGGTTTCGTGAAATTGGATGGTTTCGAGACAGTATTGCCCTGATGATGCTCTATCAGAAGATCAAAGGTAATTTTGGTTTACATTGACTAAAATATGTCTTGAGTCATTTTCTCTTAACCATTGTGGTCTTCTAAAGTCACCGAGTCTCGAGTGAAAACGACAAGAGGTCTTTGATTTTGTTCCAGATTTTTCTAGGTAGGTAATGTGGGAATAGAGGTCTTACCAAAACAATCCACTGTAGGTGTCATCTTATTTAACTGCAACTTACACTTACCACTGAATTATAGGATGCCAGAGCACAATGCGCTGATCGGTAAAAAGCAACGGTCCATGTTGACCTTCATTGTTTACTTACTACAATAGAATGCCTTGCCACATGACGGATACTAGACTCCTGTATGTGATTTTGCCTGGTTGAGAGCACACAAGGGCTTGTACATTTTCAAGTAATGGCCAACCTAAAATAAGCGATCCAGTGGGTAGTTAGGGTGAAGTGTGTTGGTCTACATCACTCGGACTTAGGAGTCCTCGCTTTTGGACGCGTGTTTCGGCCCACAACCAGGGAGCGTGAGCATTGGATCACCTGAAGGAGTGTCGGGAAACTGGGCTGCATATTCATGCCGTGAGATCGCCGCACGCTCTAGACGAGAAGAGCATCGTGGACCTGCACATGAGGTTCTGATCTGAGTTTAGAGCTTCAGTTAGCTCTAGGTAATGCAGGTTAGCCTGTCCGCTTGATTGTCTCCGAGGCCGCAGAGGTGACCTGCTGTTCTGTACCAAAAAGCGGGGCTGAGAATTTTGGTAATTGATTACTCTTGCAAACTACCGACTTTTTATGGCGAGTCTCAGCCAGTTATTATCTTGCATATTTAGTAAGTAGGTGTAATGCCTATTTTTCTCATCGTTTTTTAAATATTCAGGAGTCTAAATGTCCATATTGAAATGTGTTTTTCTGACGAGAGGGCAGAAGTCACTAATACTATCCGAACTCTTGATTCCCCACGTAAATGGTATTTCCCAGTTGTAGAATCTCGAGTGTAGAAAAAAAGTCGATCGACCAAGGTAATAACCTTTCATATGATTTTGTTCCCTTTTTGGTTGGAAGTGTTTTGTTTCCCGTACACAATCAAAACTTGCGTAAACAGCAGGAGGTACTGATAATGAACACTTTGCGACGACTCGCCGAAATGGGCTTTAGAGTCAGGAGAAAAATCCCAACTTTTTTAACACTTAAGCTCTCCCAGAAGATGTAGATCTAGAGATCTAGATGTTAAAGTATTAATTCATTCATGAACCGAGTAATTGTGGTAAATGGGGATATAATATGACAGTTGTCGATACAAATCCCAGGAAGTAATTGAGAAGAAGCCGACTCGAAAACGACTCTTAGCGATCGAGTCGTCTTTTTCTCAAAATGACAGTGGTAAAGAAGATAATAAATACGTTAAATGGTATTAAGTTGATAAAAAATGACTTCGGATAATAAATCCTGAGCTGTATGTCTTCAGCGGACACATATATTAACATTTTATTTTTACAGATTGCCTACTTCATTATCAGTTAATGCGATAAAATATAACTTCAGAAAACCCAAACAAGGTCCCTTTGCTTGCTGATTTCAATGCCAGCCGGGATGCGCACAGGTTTGTTAAACTGCTCATGGCAACTGCCAATTAGTTTGAACATTTTAGTAAAACCCAGGGATTATTGTGTCTGAATCACAATATTGCCATCATATTATTCGCCGCGGTAGCAAGGTTTGGTTCAAAAGCGTGCAGACAACAAAATTACCTTCAAGCACGTACAAGTTCAATGAAATTGCACTAAAACAAAACCAAAGCCCTTTTCTGGCGAGCTTATGAAGATGACACCACCCTGCCCTCACATTGACCTACATCCACATACTCCTGTGCCCCATAGTCAAACCTGAGGTCGCTGCTGTTTACGCTCTACACTGAGCAGTGGAGCAGTTCAGCATGCACTGAATCATCTCATGTTATCTATTTACGGCCTGAAAATGTCAGAAGCACTTTATTGTGTGAATTGTACTTTTCCCTAGTCCTTAAGTTTGACAAGCAATTATAAGGCTGAATGCCCACAGGGAAAATGTCTAACTCTGCTTAAAAATGTTTACCTTGGTAAACAACCGGCAGGATTAAGTACATACACACTCCTGTATTTCATCCAATATTTCAGAGGTCTGGCTGCCCACTTGAGGTATAGCTGGCGATAGCCTCGTCAAACACGCAGGAGAATACTAATGAAGGCACTCAGGCACCGTAGACGAAGACGCCATGGTGGAGAAACCTCACAGATTCTACATGTTCTTAGTGTGTTATTTGTTCAAGCAAGAAGCAGTGTGACCGCTTAAGCGAGTTTAGGATGCTGACAAAAATAACGAACGAAGGGAGAGTTCGCTGTATGACGTCTTGAGAATTTAGTTGTGCTGCTAAGTGTAAAATAAGCGGTTTCCTTTTATGGTTGTCGTCTACTCACACCAAATGCAGGTCTCAGACTATCCTACGATCACCTATGATGAAGGATTCTCGGCAGAATCCGAAACGTCAGGAAGATAAAACTCTTGTGCCAGTGATCGCATCTTCTTCTTCTGCTCTGTTAATCCTTAAATCCTCATCTGTGAAGCAGTCTTACAGAAAGTTTAATATTTTTGAACGCGACACACAAATCTTTGGGAAATTTGCATTCCAGAAAAAAATTTCAATTATAGGATATTGCTGGAATATTTAATTGAGTATACTTAGAGGCTTCGACATATTGGTTTCTTAAGCCGGTGTTGGACGCGTTTCATTTGGTCCAAGGTAGTTTCGTTCCCTGCCATATAAAACAATCCCTTGATGTTAGCATACTATAATGAATTATGAAAAACAGATATTTTTCTCGTGTAAGTGTACTATTTGTGTATCACGAACGGACTGACTATATAGAACACATGGAAACTGCCAAACCCTCTCTAAAGTTGCAAAAATTCACATCAGACAATTCAGAAGAATACCTGGCGAGCATACGTAGTTTTCGATAAATTGTCCTCGGGCGATTACATTTATATAGGGAGGGGATAAAAGTAACATGCTGGTAATTATGTTCATCTTTACAGGCAAATCAGTCATGTGAATAAGGGAGGGGTGGGGTTGATAGTACTCGGCTGGGTTCGAAACGATGATGGTTTGTTGAATCTATACAGGGGGGGGTGGAAGGGGGAGATAGCGCGGAAAGATACAAGCAGTTATGTAACCGTTGGCTATGACACCATAATTGCCAGCAATTTACTTTGTACTCCCTCCCTATATAGATGTAATGGACCGAGTATAATTTATCGAAAGCTACATATGCTCGCCAGATATTATTCTGGAACCTTCTTCAACCAAAATTAATTTTCCTGGACAAATACTGCGTCTTTGCAAGATGACGCTGCACGCATATTCGCATTAATACACGAAATTTGTCACACATATTGTGGATCAAAAGTACTAAACTAAGGTAGACAGTGGAAGCCTTGGAAATGCTGTATTTGTGATTGGGGTCAATCTGAGTAGGCACAAATTACCACTGTGAAGAATCATAATGAAATGCTATACGAAAATAGCCCTTGCCAGTTATTTTTAAAAATACAGTTACATGGTTGCCTTATTTCAAAAACATCGTTGACGATTTTTATACACATAATGGTGCATGATATATTTTTCAATAGCACATTGGTGTATATTAGATATTGGCAATGAAAGTGCGTAATCTATTATTGGTCAGGCCTCCCATGGCTTTAATTGCGTCTTTTGAATACAGTTCTGTAAACCAGTTAAGCAAAAGTTCAGAAAACGTAACCGAAGATACGAAAGCAATCTATGATAATTAAGAGAATTGTGATTTCCGAATCAAACCAAACTTTTCCCCTGGTTAAGCTACTTTAAAGAATGCTTTTTTCCCAAGTATTTAAAACCTACGAAAGCAATTCGAGTTTTGGCAAGCCAGATTCTTAACTGAGAACTTGAAAATTGTAGAGGCTATATCGCTACAAATATTCAAAACGTCATAGCAAATACGCAACGGAAAACTTTATAGGGTAGGCTAACTG